GTATAATAAACAAAAGATAGTTTCTTGCGAAGTAAAGGAGAGTTCGAATAGAAGCCTTAATCGACTAAACGAATTTCTGACACGAACTAACTGCCATTGACGCTTACTAAGTACCGAGAACGAAGATTTTGGATATGTATATAATACAGTATTTAATGAGGCGATAAGTTGACTTCAGTTCCTTACTTACCAAACGAAGTAAGTCAAACTTGGCCCGAGAGAGATCGAGCTGTGAGGAGAGCGCGCTCGACGATGAATAATACCTTTGGAAAATCCACCCGTGGCGGGTTTATCGTTGGATCTAATCAAATTTAATGATTTGCAATGGAGAAACGAGGGTTTTATTATCAAAGATATACGTATGTATCCTGATGAAAACTGGGCGAAACAATAGCGAGCATTAATTTGTAATGATCACGTCACGAAATGGATTTGGAAAAGAATCGACATTAAAACCTTTGTTTAAACGATATGATGTATGATTATATACGGAATAAATTTCAAATTCGAAACGATAATTGAAGAAGAATAATTGCGAATTTCTAATTATTGAATTGATAAGCTGGTTTATCACTCGGCTGCCAACCGTTCTGTCGGCAATTGCAACGATGCTTAGGAAATTCCAAGACGATTACAGTGGCGCTCATGTGAAAACGCTCGCGCATTACCACTGTGCATAACAATCCAACGTACGATGAACAAGCAACTGCAATCAAAGATAGAAGGAACAAAGCTAAACGCGGCTACGGTCTTGCACTGATGAATACTGAACCGATTAAATTTAATTGCAAGAGAGAAATTCATCGAGGCGAGCCTGTCTGCTCTATCGTTACAACATTTTTATAATAAACGAAAAATATATATATATATATCTTTTCACGAGAATGACGCCAGTTACGAATTCGTTGCACGTATATTTTTTCACATATGATACATTAATTCATAAGATGATTTCATCGTGATTTTCGTTTAACATTGTGTATTAAAAAATTACTCGAAATGAAAAAAAATTAATTGAAGGAAAGTGTAATAAATATCACGTCGTCGTAATAATTTAATTAATTATATATAAAATATGACAATGAGAATGAAATTGAATCGGCGAAAGTTGAAAAAGATCGGAATGAAATTGCCAACCGACCTATCTTGTTTTAAATTTATTCTACTTTTACTTCGAAAACATTTTTATCATGTTTGATTTCTCGGCTATGAATCAGAGATAAGATTGGCATTTGTGAAACGCTAATCTGGATCTACACTCAACTCGTGCACATCTAAGAATGAACGCACACCTTGATAACCGAGTTGATCATTGATCCTAATGCGCGGATCGATAATCGAAAATTTAAATATTTGCTCGAACGATTTTTATTCCAAAACAAACACTTCGAATACAAATAAAAAGAAAATGATTTATGCCTACGATCAAATAATAACTAACCAAATTAAAAATCGGATGAATCGAATAATTAGAAAAAAAAATTGGAGAAAAAAAGACGAAAGAAATCAGAGAAGGAAAAATTTACCCAGCAGACCAATAACTGTGTGCACAACAGTCGTCACCATCAATGATCCATGAAATCCCGTGATACAAGCATACTAAAAATCGAACGGTGGAAATCGAACGTTTACGTTGCATGCACACAGGCATGAAACATTTAATAGACCGATAAATAGATAATAGCACGGTGGACCCATTCATAAAGCATGGAAATGAGCGTGGCTCCGGAAACTCGATGAATACGCGATCGATGAACAAAGCGGTCGTGTTGGGGAGGGATCGTCGTGAAAAATTTGAAGCGGATTGTGCATGGATCGTCGTACGTTATCAAGAGAATTCGTTTCGATGGGATATGACAATTTAAAACCCGCCGTTTCGCGGAACAAACCATTTGAAACTGTGGCGCGTTTTCGCCAATTGAAAATACGTGAACGATGGATTTTTCCGCGTTGAAAGGGGTCGATTATTTTTGTTTAAAAATTGGTTTCCGATGAAATTCCATGCAAATTATTATTCTCTCTTTTAAGAAATATCGCGCAACGATTTGTATTTCGACTTATATTCTTGAAAATGTTAAATGAAACGTGTTAATGTCGAAATTTTATTATCTGTATAATTAAACTTTATGATGGTATTGATTTTTTTTATTACGAACCGAAAAAAATTTCATACAATATCTATATTTTTCAAAAAGAATCATTAATTTGGATTATTCGTTCATTTACATATTTAAATAACACATTACATTCCTTTGTAATTTTACATATTCATCGAATTTCAAATTAATCGATGCAAAATTAATGCATGCATTAAAAAGAATTACAATCCAATAGTGTGAACAATGCCAATGTTCAAAAATAAAATTCTACGGGATCAAAATAATCGCCATCGGAATTTTTTAAACAAAATAAATCTATCCCAGTATTAACACACGGCTAAAAAAAAAATTACCATTTCTCTATTTTCAGAATTTCGTATTTTTCGAACGCTTGCGCTTCCATCGCTAGTTTTTCAAAAATTGAGCACAATTCATAACGGCCTAATACCGAAGAACGATTCAATTCGATTCCAATCTTTCGAAAAAAAAGAAAAAAAATAACTTCACCCGCGTTAAAACGTTGGAACGCGAGGAAAATTATGCGCCGAAGTGCGGACGGATCGATCTCGATCCAGCGTACAAACTCTCTCGAAACAAAAACAATGGACGAATTTCACGCAAATTACAACGAGTTATATCGCAGAGAGCTCGCTCCATTCTTTTCAACGTTTCTTTTCAAATTTACGACCTTGGCGGAAAACTCGTGGAAAGTTCGTTTCCAATATTCTCGCGGCCGTTTAACAGATCGAACGACGTGCTAATTTTATCTTTCGATTTTTCAACGATTTCATTTCTTTCCTTTTTTATTGCCCCCCTCCCTCCTTTTTTATTTCGAGTGTCCAAACCTAAATTGCGAGCTCGAGGCGGGTCGGTCGGCGGTGATTTACCCCTGCGTGGGGCAGTTTCGTTTGTCCGACCACGGGAAACGCTATTAATCGAAATATCCGTGGATGCGCATACTGTATTCTCATTTATACGCAAATGTAACCAACACGTACGTACAACGGGATAAAGGGGAATCCGTTGGAAATTTAGTTGGAAAATGGGAAGAAAAGTTGGGAACGGAATGCTCGCGTTTGAGAATATCTCTAAACGTTTATCCTTTGAATGCTGTTTAACGCGTGTTTCAAAAATAGTTTGCACTTTTAATTGTGTAATTGTGAATCGTCTTTTCGATCATATTTTCGAATCGTTTCTTCGACGTAACGAAATTTTGGATCACAATGTTCCATTGTTGTTATTGTTCAATTTTCTTTTCGTCTATGTATTTATTATACACGAATTTTAATTAATAATTATAATAATTCGTGCCATTTTTGGGACTTTTTTTTTTTTATTTTGGTGTGATATTAAATATTATATTTTTGTATAGAAATGAGGTAAGTTTGAAGGTATTCGATGCATTTAATCGATATATCTCAATGTGTTATTCAACGCGAATTTCTGATAGAATGGAGTGAACTATTTTAAACATCTCTTTGGCAAATTGCCCGTTTAATACTGACCACTGAACTCTATATGCAGTTTTGCATTATTGGCTACGGGCTAAATGCTTAAAAGATTAATAATAAAATAAGAGATCGATAAACTTGAGTTTAATTCACGAAATACTAAGAAGATAAACGAGCTTTAATAATCCTGAGAAATTATATTTTGCAAGAATCGTGTTTTTTATATTCTGCAAAAATTTTAACTCAGATGATAATGATTCTTTTGATATTAAAAGAAATGTAGTAAAAGTAATGAAAAATTCTTCAGAGAATACGCAGAAATATATTATGCAGGAATGATGAAGCTTTGCTGCTTAAAATTCAAGTTGCTTTGAATATTTGAAAAGCTTTGTACATTCAAAACTCATTTCGTTTATTTCGTAAACGTGGATTTCAATTTGGAAAAGCAAATAGTTATAAAAATCTAAATTTCGTAAATATTATCAATTTTCTAGTTTCTATAAAAAAAATTCTATCAAAAGTAAATATTTAATTTCAATAAAATCAATTAACAAAAATGCTCTGTTTCTTCTTGTTTCTTATTATTTTAAATTAAATATACTTTTGAAGAATAATGTATATCGTTGTCCACAAAATATTGAATTAAATACTCGTATTATTTATATATCTTGTTTATCTTTGTCAAACAAGATAAAGATAAAATTCTACATGAATGAACTATTTACACAGTTATAAAACTGTATTAACCATAGAAGCTTATTCTTGATTGATGGTACATGAAAAACAATATTTGATGACTAACAAAGCTTACGTAATTTTGAAACGCGTAGTCTACTATCTAAAGAACGATAATCATACAACTATCGTTATTTTTTTTAATATAGTTAGTGACGATAATTTATTAATTTAATTTTCACGACGGAAAAAAAAAA